AGACGGGAAGGCATGGAGCGATGCCGCCAAGTACTTCCCGAGCTCGCTTTCCTGACTACTGTCGATTGAAATGCATTTGACATGTTGAGACATTCTTTTCGTGCAGTTGACTTTGGGATAAAACGGTTTGTTCGTTTGTTTGGAAGTGGACAAACAAAGACATTACACCTCTCGGTCGGCACTCTGGACTTGCATTCGCGTACGTTAGTAAATATTCATGACCGAAATGACAGGAATTCGCTAGTTGCGATGGCGGTTTGCGAAAAACGCGTAAATTTGTCCTTTTTATGACAACCGTACAGCGTCGTACGGTACGGCAGGGGTGGGTGGGTGGTCTGGGGGGGGTCCGCCAACATTTTTAGCGTGGGGTCTGAAACAAAATTTCTTACCCCCCCCCCTGCCGTCCCTTCACTTATGCGGTATCTTACTTGTTTCCCCCGCCCATCCATCCATCCATCCATCCATCCTTCCATCCTACCTACGCGCGTTCTCTGCCCCGCCCCGCTGCTGCCCTGCCCTGCCCTGCCCTGCGCTCCACGCGCCCTTCCGCCTTCCGCCCCGCCGGCAGACCCCCGGCCTTCTCGACCACAGCTACTTCCAGGGGCTTGCTGAGGCCCCCATGTATGTGGTGCTCAACGGAGCCCAGGTACGTACGTGGGCACGTGGGCACGTGGATGGACACGTGGGCCCGTGGGCCCGTGGGCACGTGGGCACGTGGGCACGTGGGCACGTGGGCACGTGGGCCCGTGGGCCCGTGGGCCCGTGGGCACGTGGACACGTGGATGGGCACGTGGATGGACACGTAGGGGCGAACCGCACGCAGGTGGTTCGTCGTTTATTTATGCATATGTTTAACAGAATACGTAATAGTTTGACGACGCCGCTGTTATCATCGAGACACGCGTGCGGCATACGTACGACGAATGTGCGAGCACACGGTGTGTGGGCTCATGCTCGCTTTGGCGGCGGCGTATGTAGTACATCATCATTAGTGATAATGTATAGTACTCAACGCACGGCACACAACACATCTATTTGCATGTACTTATTACGTCTGTCCGTACATCCGTACAGGGCCAGCTGACGGAGGTGGCGCCGCTGCTGGCGGATCAGGACGACTCCGTGCGGATCTACTTTGGCAATGCGGGGCCCAATCTGACGTCAGCTTTCCACATCATCGGAACCGCATTTGTAAAAGTGAGTATGTAGTCCGGTTGGTTGGCTTGTTGGCTTGTTGGGTGGGTGGGTGGGTGGGTGGGTGGGTGGGTGGGTGGGTGGGTGGGTGGGTGGGTGGGTGGGTGGGTGGGTGGGTGGGTGGGTGGGTGGGTGGGTGGGTGGGTGGGTGGGTGGGTGGGTGGGTGGGTGGGTGGGTGGGTGGGTGGGTGGGTGGGTGGGTGGGTGGGTGGGTGGGTGGGTGGGTGGGTGGGTGGGTGGGTGGGTGGGTGGGTGGGTGGGTGGGTGGGTGGGTGGGTGGGTGGGTGGGTGGGTGGGTGGGTGGGTGGGTGGGTGGGTGGGTGGGTGGGTGGGTGGGTGGGTGGGTGGGTGGGTGGGTGGGTGGGTGGGTGGGTGGGTGGGTGGGTGGGTGGGTGGGTGGGTGGGTGGGTGGGTGGGTGGGTGGGTGGGTGGGTGGGTGGGTGGGTGGGTGGGTGGGTGGGTGGGTGGGTGGGTGGGTGGGTGGGTGGGTGGGTGGGTGGGTGGGTGGGTGGGTGGGTGGGTGGGTGGGTGGGTGGGTGGGTGGGTGGGTGGGTGGGTGGGTGGGTGGGTGGGTGGGTGGGTGGGTGGGTGGGTGGGTGGGTGGGTGGGTGAATAATTGAACCTACCTTCGTTCTGCGGGCTTCTGTTGTTTGCGGGCGAACCGATCGAGGATGGCGGCAAGTAGACGGAGGATTAGGGTAGGTGGAGTGGATGGATGGGCGAGGTGCGTGTGGATTGTGTAGTACGACACGGTTAGATAGTTGGTTTAGAGCTAGTTGCGATGCGCCGGCGGCACATGCTTCAGGAAAGATTGTCAGAACATGCATGCATGGTGAGTTGGTGACGGGCGGGTGGGCACGCGTTACACACCAGTACGGCTGCGTGCGGCACGTACGTACGGCATATGCACGTACGCAACCAGCAGCGCCCGTACATATGTACGTACATGCATACCATCGTACGCACGTTCTATGTATCGGCGTGTGCGTTTGTTACATGGGTGGGGGTAGGTGCGTGTCCTCTGCATTAATAACAAACCAGAAAATAAAACGGGCGAGCCGGAGATGGACCAAGGGCACCTTAAAACGCCTAAAAGTACGGTAGTCTAGTGCCGCACGCACAGCAAGGAGTATGGTAGCGGAAAACTAGCGACCAAACGGGGCAATGGCCGGCGTTGCGCACTATCTATCTACGTACCCCAGACCCCGCAGCAATGCATGAGCGTCGTTTTTGTATGTATGTACTACAACTGTGCATGGTTACGTACGTCTGCGTGCTTGAGGCGCCGTGCATGCTCAACTTTCGTTCCCCGCCCGCCGCCACAACTAACTGATGAACTATTGATCCTCCCAAAGACGTCCATACATCCCACCTTTGCTGCCTCGCTCGCGTGTGTTCATGTGTATGGCTTGCTGGCCGGCTGCTGGCTGCTGGTGTGTGTGTGTGTGTGCACCGCAGCTGCACCGGGACGGTGACCTGACCTCTCCACCCGCCCAGAACGTGACGACCACGTGCGTGCCCCCGGGTACGTAGCCTGCTTGCCTGGCTGCCTGGCTGCCTGGCTGCCTGGCTGCCTGGCTGCCTGGCTGCCTGGCTGCCTGGCTGCCTGGCTGCCTGGCTGCCTGGCTGCCTGGCTGCCTGGCTGCCTGGCTGCCTGGCTGCCTGGCTGCCTGGCTGCCTGGCTGCCTGACTGCCTGGCTGCCTGGCTGCCTGGCTGCCTGGCTGCCTGACTGCCTGACTGCCTGGCTGCCTGGCTGCCTGGCTGCCTGGCTGCCTGGCTGCCTGGCTGCCTGGCTGCCTGTGTGGCTGTGTGGCTGTGTGGCTGTGTGGCTGGCAGGGCTGGGCTCGGACCTGGGAGGCAGGCTCGCTGGCTGTCTTGAACTAACGCAACGTGAAACAACCCTGCGTGCGTGCGCGTACCCCGCCTGCGTAAATGTACGGTATGCACCCTGCTGCATGCTCATTCCCTGCGTTCGCGCGTGCGTGTATGTACGTACCCGACACAAACCGACCTAGCCAGCCGTGTGCGTATGTTATATGAATCACACGATACGACATACACGACACGATACCACACGACACGACACGGCTCGACACGACACGGCACGACACAACACGACACGACACGGCTCGACACGACACGACACGACACCACACGACACGACACCACACGACATCTGTATGTATGTCTACGGTACACGCAGGAGGCTCCTGTGTGGTTGACCTGCGCCTGCCCGTGCCCGGCAACTACACCCTCCTGGACCACGCCATCTTCCGAGTAGACAAGGGCTGCGTCGGATTCCTCAAGGTGGGTACGTATGTACGGATGTATGTACGAAACGTACATACGCATGATGATACGTCGGTACGTATGCATACGTGCGTACGTACGTGTGGCTGGCTGGGTGTGGGTGGACGAGCTGCTGGAGGCAGGTACGTACATACCGTACGCATGCAGCGAGGAGATACGATACAACGCAGGGCAGCAGGGCAGCAAGTCGATCGATCGGTAGCGTGGCGCAACGCGAGGTAGAACGGACGGCGGGCGGGGCGGGGGGTGCATGGGGGATGGCGGGGTGCAAGTAAGCTAGCACAACCAGCAGGGGGCTCGCCATGCATCGAGAGAGCGAGACACAGCCATTTCTCCCGAGCGAACTGTCCGTCCTGGTCCGTCCGTATTCAGGGGCCGTCCAGCAGGGCTCAAGAAACCGTATGCTAAATCCAATTATAGACGCGCCGTCTATTCTGGAAACCAATTCCATCTAAAACCGCCGTATCTAAATACAGACGAACGCGCGCGTGTACGGCGCTTATTACGAAATGTACGTACGGGGCTATATAGGGATCCGAGCGTTGTAAGGTCTCCAGCGGGTTGGTGAAGTAAACAAACGTGTGAAATAAATGAAATGAAAAGTTTCTAATTATTTTTGTTTGCGTGGTGAAATATTTTCCATGGACGCACTCGCGCGCCTGCACGCACGCACGCACGCACGCGCCCCTCCCCGCCCGTCTTGCAGGTGCGCGCCCGTGGCAACGACCGCCGCCGCGACTTGTACGACAGCTTGGAGACGCCCACCCCCTGCCCGGGATGCAAACTTCACGGCTAGCTCCGCTCTCTGACGGAGGCGAAACAAACAACTAACGAGGCTACATACACGGCACGCAGGCGGCTGCTGGGCGACCGATAAGCTGCATACATCCTGCAGCAGACGACGGAGGGTAGAGCTCGAGGGGCTGATGAAGACGGACCTAAGGCCACCTGCTGACCTGCTTTGTGGTTGCTTGGCGGGGGGGGGGGGGCATGCACGCAGGGATGCCAGAAGTGCGTGCGTGTGGGCATCGATGGGGAAGCGGCGGTCGATGGAAAAAGGAAAGGAACGGAACGTTTACGCTGGACCGTAAGCCCTAGCGTGTGTCAAGGGAGCAGACGGATGTCCCTTGGTTCGGCGGGTACAGCCCACTACCGCGGTGACCGCATTTATCACGAAGATGGGTTGCTTAGCCCACCCCTCCGTGTCTGGGCCCCGTCTCACTCAGATTACACATCATTGTTGAACAATCAACCGTGATGAGTTGTACCAGTGCAGGGAACAGGGACACGGCTAAATAAAGAGCCATGCGATCGCCTGCTGTTCGTCCCACACCGGGGCCCCCATCGGTCACCCAGCCCTCTGCGAATATAGGATTGGACAGGTGATCTCCCGGTCACACATTCAGTGACGTAACTCTCAGGCAATTCCTTCGGGGAATATGCAATGAGTGCAAAGGACAACATCGAACCAAGGTGATATGATGAAGTCATCCATTGCGCCACCGGGGAATCGAACCCCGCTCTTTTGCTTGGAAGGCAAATATCCTCACCACTGGACTAGTGGCGCGAGAGATGACACTTCAGCGGAAATGCAATTTTGCTTGCCGCTGTTGCCGGCACGCTTGTGTCCGCGCTTGCCGAGTCCTCGCGTGGCGGCAGTACCATCGCAACCGCCGCCACGGGGGCGCTTCAAAGCTCAACACAGTATTGCCCTAACGAATGACGTGCGTGTTCACGCGGGGGCGTGCTAGAATCGCTGAAACAATACGCCTAACTGCGTGCGTGCGAAGATGTATGTGCGGCCGCCACGCACGCAGGAGAGCGAGGCTTTATTTGTAGGTATGGATACATGTGGGGGGGTCGTGTCGTCGTCGTCGGGGTGTGTCCATGCAAACCCATCACTAGCCAGCACACATACGCACGTGGTGGAAACAAGGAAATGGAAACAAAGTAGTGGTGGTGGTGGTAGTGCGTGTGATCAGTTAAGGGCGATCCCTCGGTCGGTCGGTAGTTGTGCATGTCTGTCTGTCCGTCCGTGCATTCCGTCGTTCGTCGGATAGGTATGTCTGTTGTTCGTTCGTCTTAACGCTCGCACGCGTCTGTCTGCTGCTTGCCTAGACAAACATACACATGTAGTAAGACGTACGCCGGCGGCGGCCGCCATGCGGCGGGCGGGCGTACGTGCTGTGTGTCTGAATGCGGCGCCTCTTATCCACTCACGCATCACTCGATCATAATAGACCGACGATAGATGACATACAGGATGGAGTCGTACACACACGAAATACGACAACATGTTATGTTGTAGAACACAACGCAACACCGCATCTGCTGACATTGCCGCACCTGATCAGCTGCTGATCGATGAGTGGAGCGAGGGTGTTCAAATACGCACGCACGCACGCACGTACAAGTGGAGGACGGCGGGCTCGCCGAGCTGCAGTTGAGACTTTCGCCCAGAACGAACAAGAACGTACGTAGGGCTCTAGCTACCTCTGCAGCCCACAGACAGTAGCACCACCAACGCACGTATGTACCGGTATGGGCAACGCCTGGACGGACAGTTGCGAAAGATCGAACAGTCACAATGGTGGTCACAACGGTGAATGGTCACAACGGTGAATGAATGAAGTAATAAGTAAGAGGACACAGAGGAGAGCAGCTAGAGAGGCTATCTTGATTGATTGAGCAAGTCATCAAGGAGATTTTGAAGGTGCGTGGGCGCTAGCGGCTGTATGTGCAGCCCCACAACTGAAACCGGTGCGTGGCAACTAAGTTCGTTGCTTGCAGCGCACGCACCCCTGTCCGTCATACCGCCTATGCACTCTGCTGCAGGCAGCAGGTGGCAGGTGGCAGGCGGGGGGGCTATTATCGATGCCGCCCGCGAACAGGCTTAGCCTCCTCGCTCGTTGGTGATAGATGACGCGCGCGCACGGTATGGGTCGCTACGTGGGTGGCGGCCGGCGCAGCAGATAGCACAATCCGTCAGTATCATCAGTTCTATCCAATGTACCAATGCGTGAACCAATGATCAAATGTACCAATGGTCCAATGATTCAATGATCCACGTACATGACGGTGCCAGCCATGCGACCCTGAGGGACAAACGAGCGAGCGGCGAGTTCGTTCCCGTACCGCCCTCGTACTATCTCCGTATACCGGTATATCGCCGCGCACCGACAGGCACGCGGATGCAAAACACAGAAACAACACCACCTGGTAAGATAAGAGCCCACCAGACATATCACGACCTGTACATAAGACCCCACATAGCAGTTACGGATTTGTCAGGAAACGCCATTGGCGTCTTTCCGAAGGTAGGCGAACCTACGTAGAGCGAGCACGCATGTACGGCGGGAGCAGCATGCGTGCTGGCCAACTGCTGGTTGGCGGACGGAACGTCAAAACCAACCAACCAACCAATCAACCAAACAACCAACCAACCGAGTACGGACGGATACACAGCCCGGCCGCCCGGTCCACCTCCTCCGTCCAGCGCTGCCGACCAAAGCGGCCGGCGGCGGGACGGGGGCGGGCGAGCCACGGCGTGAATGACCCCAATAAGACAACGGACGGAAACGAGATCCCGCGAGCAACTGCTCCGACCGACCGACCGACAGCATCGATAAGGTAACGTAACTAACAGCATCGATAAGGATGTCAAGAGTAAGAGTAAGTCAAGGGCAAGCGCATCCAGCCGCATATTATGTCGGTTGCGGCTGGCCGCCGCGCCGTCCAGGATCAGGCAGGTTCCGCCGCCCGCCCGCTGCATGCGTGAGCGGCTCCCTCTCTGGATGGCATCCGGGGGGGCGGGGGGGGGGACAGCAAGCAAAGCAAGGGCGGCGGAAACATCTATATATCCCACGCACGCACGCACCCGCCGCATACATCGATCGATCGGAACCGCGCGCGCGCACCTCAACCTAAACCCTTCGTTTGACGACGAACAAAGCGCGAGCATATCTGCAACCTATCTATAATAACGCACCAGCAACACGCACGCCGGCGCTTCCTGCGTTGTCACGTCAACGCCGACGGCGGCGAGCAGATCAGCAACCTCCACACGCAACGCACGTACGACATTCCGCTCACTCGGATTTACGGTACACGCTCACTCGCAGCAGTGAATCAAGAGGCCTCGGACTGCATCGCACGCTGCGCCCGCCCGCCCGCGCAATTCGCGTTAGTTTACCTTCCATCCATCAACCAATAAGACACCCAGCTCGCTCGGCGTGTGTCTCTCAGCCGGCCAGCCAGCCAGCCACCTGCATATATCCCCGTACGTCCGTGTCTTGTCCCAGCAGTCGTCGTCGCACACAACTACCTTTCCCGCAGAGCCACGCCCGCATGCAGCCGGCGGCCCCTTCGTTCCCCGAATGATGTCCTCCTCGTCCTAGCTAGGGTGCGGCCAAGATGCGGCGGACAGCGAGGGCACGGCCCGCGCCGAGCGAGCAGGACGATACGAAGCATCCAGAGCAAGCAATGCAACGAAGGGCGCCGCCGCCGCTGTCGCGACAATGGAACTCGACGAACACACACGTGCATGTAATAACGAAAGTATGCCAGCCGTCAGGTCAGCTCGACTCAGCGGCTCATGCCAGCCGTCAGGTCAGCTCGACTCAGCGGCTCATGCCAGCCGTCAGGTCAGCTCGGCTCAGCGGCTCATGCCAGCCGTCAGGTCAGCTCGGCTCAGCGGCTCATGCCAGCCGTCAGGTCAGCTCGACTCAGCGGCTCATGCCAGCCGTCAGGTCAGCTCGACTCAGCGGCTCATGCCAGCCGTCAGGTCAGCTCGGCTCAGCGGCTCATGCCAGCCGTCAGGTCAGCTCGGCTCAGCGGCTCATGCCAGCCGTCAGGTCAGCTCGGCTCAGCGGCTCATGCCAGCCGTCAGGTCAGCTCGACTCAGCAACGAAGGGCTGGCTCGGCTGCAGACCGACGAGCGGCGCGTTCGTTCACCATTGCTCGCCTGCATACATACATACATGCAACCCAAGCGCATGCAACAAGTCAGCATACAAAAACATGTGCGTGCACTGAAGGGTTTGGAGGTCCTGCCACGCCGCAATGATACCATGCATGAGTGGCATTCTTGATGATTAACGAACGTGCAGATCCGAGTCGCTTGCGTGTGCTCATGTGTGTTTGCCTGCGCGTGCGTGCATGCGTGCCTGCACGTCCTGTATGTGGCCGTACTTGTATTTGTGTCATCCCTCGTCATTATTGGTGTGTATGACTGCGCGTGCATGTGTTTGTCCTTCGCATAAAGGTAAGCAAGTAAGGGAGATCGCTCGTGTGGGGGCGTCTCCCACGCACGTATTGGGCACCAATCAACGCGCCCAGCGGTACGTAACCGACAACCGACAACCGGTACCTCCGCTGCATCGCACTCACTGATTTTTCCTTCGCCGCGCCACCAGGGCAGCACCCGCCGGCAGTGCAGCAGCTGCGGGTTCAGCTGCGGCGTGTAGCCGGCGCCCTCGCTGACCATCAGCCGCACAGCCACCTGCTGCGCCTTCGCATAGGTGAGGTAGTGCTGGTAGGCCGTGGCCTCTTCGCGCGCGCGGCCCAACCTTTTCAGCTGCGGTGTGGGCGGGCGGGCGGGCGGGCGGCGGCAAAAAGACATCACATCACGCCACGCCATGCCATGCGCGCATACCGTACCCTCGCGTGCTCGAGCTCTCTATCTGTATGTACCGTATGTATGTGCTGATCGCTTTTGCCGTGACAGTGAACGATGAACCAAAGCCAGCCATCGGGCACGCGCGCCGGTTTGTGCGGAAATCAAGGTGCGTGCTTCGGCGTTGGCAGCGCTTCCGTACTACTTGCACATGCGCCCCACCCTGCCCGCCCGCAGGACAGACGCAAACACGCATCAGCACCATCGCATGAGCGTCGGTCATAACCATCCAGCGACCCTTCACGCACCAACATGCGCATGCGCATGTAAATAAACGCGTATATTAACTTAGGGTTTTAACTATTACTTTAGGGTTTTAACTATTAACAGCAGTTAAGGGTTTGAACTATTAACAGCAACCCGCCGTCTCTCTTGAGCACCCCTACTTGCAACTCAAACAGCAACTAACCACAGCCGTGATGGGCGCCAAAGCCGGGGAAACCCCAAATCCCGAACCCTTCGGTCGTCAGCTGGCTCCAATCTATTTACCGGTACCCGAACTGGCCCACGCCACCCAGCCTACGCTGTGCCCCTGCTGCTAATGCTACATATACACAGTGCTACCCCCAAACGTAATTACGTACGTACTTGTAGCAAGGCCTGGACGGCGGGGTCGGTCGACCGTGCGGCCGCGGCGGCGGCAGCGGCGGCGATGTCGGCAATGGCGGTGCTGTTGCCCTTCTTGGAGTGCAGCTGCGCGATGGCGACCTTGGCATGCGGCCGGTGGACCAGCCAAAAGTCGGGCAGAACGACAAACACGAAGTTCCAAAAGTGGCCCAGCGTCTCCAGGTAGGATATCTTGTCGAAGTACCAGCCGCGGAAGCGCTGCACGACAGCAGAACGAACGCGAGCGAGACGGACGGACGGATAAAAGGGGTGGACAGGAGTTCAGG